ACCTGGAACAAACAGGCAGCAACCAAACTTCAGAGCTAATATCAAATTCCTGGTTTGCAATCTTATTCTAGACCAGTGATTTAGGAGAGTGTATCATTTGATCAGCATAGAAGCCAAGCACCTAGCGTTATATAAAAGGAGAAGTTGACAATGGCCACATAGTTTCTTTAGTATGGGTTTACTGTAAAGCTAAACTCCAGGCAAACAGCTAAATGCATAGTTGAAAAACATATATCGGCACTGTTTTACCTGTCAATTGATTTGTATTTCTGTGTATTTATTATTGATATTTACACAGCTTTGCCACACCTGATTTTTCTCTAGCTAATGAGTTCCTCTCTCTTTTCACTCCCTTAGTCTGAGCTCCACTATACAGGTCTACAAGGGGCTATTACCCAGTCAAATGTGGGTGCTTGCATTAAAAAAATACTTCATTTAAGTTTATGCAATATACAACCCCTGGCAAAAAGTATGGAATCACCATTCTTGCAAAATGTTCATTCAATTCTTTAATTGTGCAGAAAAAAAACTAATCACAGACATGCCTCAAAACTATTTTCATTTATTTTATATTTCAGGTACTTATATAGCACAGTCAATTTACACAGCGCTTTACATATATATTGTACATTTACATCAGTCCCTAACCCTCAAGGGGTGTACAATCTAAGGTCCCTAACTCACATTCATACATACACATACTAGGGACAATTTAGACAGGAGCCAATTCACCTACCAGCATGTCTTTGGAGTGTGGGAGGAAACTGGAGTACCCGGAGGAAACTCATGCAGGCACAGGGAGAACATGCAAACTCCAGGCAGGTGGTGCCATGGTTGGGATTTGAACTGACGACCCTAGTACTGCCAGGCGGAAGTGCTAACCATTTAGCCACTGTGCTGCCCCATTTAACATTCCAACCTTCTGGCTTTAAGAAACACATAAAAAAAGAAAAAAGAAAACTGTAGTCAGTTGCAACTGTTTTTGCAGATCATGCAGAGAAAAGAAATATGTAATCACTCAATTCTGAGGAGCATATTTTGGAATGATAAAAAAAACCACTACAGCACAACACTAGTACTTTGTTGCACTACCTCTGGCTTTTATAACAGCTTGAATTCTCTGAGGCATGGATTTAACTATCGACAAACAGTATTCTTCATAAATCCAGCTCCAACCTTCTCTTATTGCCAGATCAGCTTTGCAGGTTGGAGCATTGTCATGGACCATTTTCATTCATTTTCACTATAGATTTTCAATTGGATTGAGGTCCAGACTATTTTTAGGCCATGCCATTGACATTTGCCATTGAAATTTTATGTCTTTCTTGAAGGAAAGTTTTCACGGCTTTTGCCCTATTGCAAGATGCATTATCATCCTGAAAAATTGTGTCAGCATCACCAAACATCCTTTCAGATGATGAAATAAGAAGAGTATCCAAAATCTCAATATAAACTTGTGCATTTTTTGAAGATTTAATGACTGTCATCTCCCCCAAACCTTTACCTGACATGCTACCCCCACATCATCAAGGATTGTGGAAATTTGCATGTTTTCTTCAGTCATCTTTATACATTTCATTGGAACGGCACTAAACAAAAGTTTCAGCATCATCACCCTGCCCAATGCAGATTTGTGATTCATCACTGAATATCAGTCCATGGTCGTTTTCTTTAGCCCACTGTAGCCTTGTTTTTTTCTGTTTAGGTGTTAATGATGGTTTTCATCTGTTTTTTCTGTATGTAAATCCTATTTCCTGAAGGCGATGTCTTACAGTTCGGTCACAGACATTGACTTTCTGCCCATTTGTTCCTCATTTGTTTTGTTGTGCATTTTCTGTTTCAAGGCATATTGCTTTAAGTTTTCTATCTTGACACGTTGATGTCTTCCTTGGTCTACTAATACACTTCTCTTTTACAACCTTCCCATTTGATTTGTACTTGGCCCAGATTTTAGACTCTGCAGACTGGGAACAACCAACGTCTTTTGCAACATTCTGTGATGATTTACCTTCTTGAAGAAGTTTTATAATCCTCTCCTTTGTGTCAACTGACATCTCTCCTGTTGGAGCCATAATTCATGTCAATCAGCTTGGTACAACAGCTCACCAAAGTGTGCAAGCACTCTTTTTTAACTGCAGACTAATTAGCAAATGTAATCAGATGCAGATATTTGTTTTAGTACATGGTGATTCCATAATATTTTCCTCAGAATTGAGTGATTCCATATTTTTTACTCTGCTTGATCAGTAAAACAGTTGCAATTGACTACAGTTTTCTTTCTTTCTTTTTTTTTTTTCTTTAGTGTTTCTTAAAGCCAGAAGGTTGGAATGTTAAATGAAAATAGCTTTGAGGCATGTCTGTGATTGTTTTTCTTTTACACAATTGATTGAACATTTTCCAAGAGTGGTGATTCCATAATTTTTGCCAGAGGTTGTAGAGTTGCAATTATTTGTATATTTTATATTGTCCAGGAGTTTAACATTTAAAGAGAACTTGATCTAAAGAAGTGCATAGGCTTCCATTAATATCCACTGAAACTGTCGTAATTCAATGGCTTCCATACTTATTCTATGTGTTTCAATTTTTCCAGTAGTGGCAAATGGTCACACACAGGAAATCTCCATAGAGGCTAAAGAGAAAAAGGAGAAGCATATTAACAAAGGCATGATGCTGTGCGTCTGCTATGCAGCCAGTATAGGAGGTACAGCAACATTAACAGGAACTGGGCCAAACCTTGTACTGAAAGGACAGTTTAGCTCGTAAGTACATAGATTTGTAAAGTACTGGAGTGGAAAAAAATAGATCTGTTTTCCTAAGAAATCAATCACTTTTCTACTTTCATGTTCTAACTTTAACACAATACGTCCCCTCTTTATTTTTCTGTAGTATGTGTAAGCTGTCGTTATAGACCACCATGCTGTGTATATATGTCACTATAACTGCAAAGTGACCACTGTTGGGTATTTATTGGACTATGTTCGGTATGAATGGTATGATGCATAAATGTTGCTCTAATTTAGTATATAAGAGGATGATGTCAGCTTGACAACCCAATCCTCTTTCAATCCTCTTTAGTAAGAAGGCCCCCAGAGAAAGGGTGCACACCCCATCATTGTGAGATGAGTGCTGCTTGTTGCTGCAGTAAACCACAAATAGAGAACTCCCATAATAGTATATGGCTCCACAAATGAAGCACACTGCAATACAGGGCAAAACATGTGTGATGCGTTCCTGAAAAAAGTCAGCTGCAATTTGAGTCAAACTAGGGTGTTGGTAGATCATTCAAAACTAATGGTCTACCTTAATGCAGCGCTTGCTAACATGCAACATCACATTCATTAATATGTGTGTTTTAACTAACTGCAAACAGTGAGATCCCAACTCTTACAATAAATAGCAAAATTTGAACAAATCAAATTAAGAAAATGATAAGTAAAGACATAAACATATAAACACAGATGAAACCACATATAAAAAAGATCAGTAGACATAAGACTAAATAAACAATTTGCAGTTTTATCTGAAAATGTTGGCTTTACATTTTAAAACAGAGCTTTCCTATTTTTTTTCATAGATTCATTTGCCCAGATTTGGTCAGGTATATTGTAAAGAAAATTCTAATCCCGAGCCTATGCTACTTATTTGTGCAGTCCTGTACGTTTACTGCATCATAGACCCACCATATTTTGTAGCAGATGCCATTTGATAGCACTCGAAGGCTAAGAAATCTAAAGTATACAGCACAAAATAATGACTTAAAACAGAGGTACTTAAAAGAGAAGTTCAGGAATTGGAAAATCATACTCACCTACTGCAGGTGGATGCAGGCTAAGTCCAATGCTGCAGCATTCCCCCGCCACCTCTAATGCCAGCCAAAAACGGGTCGAAAATCATCTGCTTTTTTGGCCAAAAAAAAAATCGGCTGATTTTCTCACTGTTTGTGGGGTAATTGGTCAGCCATTTATCGGGTTTTTTGCACATTTTTTTTATCAGTCATATTGGAAAATTTGCAGCTGATTTTGATGATCGGCCGAGTTTCCCGGTGCCCAGCCACCTTAGAGCACCAGGGTAGCTGGGGGGCAGGAAAATCCCAATCCCCAGCCACTTGCTGGGAGTTCAGATTTTTAAAATACCTGCCTTCCAACAATCCCCTTTATTGTCCTCCTGGAGCAACTAAAAGCTTGGATCTCCTTCTCGTCTTCCCACCAGCATACAACTGCTGCAGCAGGAAAATCCAGGGGATCAGTTCTAGTAAACGCCTCCCCTGCTGCCTCTTCCATCCTTGTCTCTCCTTTTTTCTGCTGCCTGGTCCCTCCCCCAAGTGCTCCCCTTTCAACAGGGCTCCTAAAGAAAGTGTGAAAAATATTTAAAAAAATAAAAACTACTGACACCATCCACTGCCCTACTGACACCAGCCTCTTCCCTACCGACACTGTCCACTGGTCTACTGACACCATCCACTGCCCTGTTGACTGACACTGTCCATTTTCAAGGTAGGCTAAGTTTGTATTTTTACAGTGGCGTTTGTTTTATTTTCTTTTTCTACATTTTTTTTGCTATTTAGTTAGGCCTTGCTAGCTTTTTGGGGGTTTTTTTTAATGGCGCTGAATCCTGGTGATCTTTGATCTCTTTCATGTTGCTCAGGTAGATCTCCACCTCTCAAAGGTTGCCTACCCCTGCCATACATGATCGAAATTCAGTTGGTCCATGCTGAATCGGCTGAATTTTGATCCATGTATGGCTGGCTTTAGCTTAGTGGATGAGGTAAAGCTAGGGTATAATTCAGTTTGGAAAGAATACCCGACCATGTGTAATGAAAATTTTAAAAATTAATGCGCCTGATTGGGTAAGTACACTAAGCTAAGCTACTGGCAAAGTTAGCCTAATGCTATTTATCATGCACATTATAACATTTGATCAGAATTCCTGAGCTGTTTTGCCTGTATTCCAGGATTTTTCCCAACAATGGTGATATAGTGAATTTTGCTTCTTGGTTTGGATTTGCTTTCCCTAACATGATTGTGATGTTGTGCATGGCTTGGATATGGCTCCAGTTATCCTTCATGGGAATGAAGTAAGTTATGTCTCTTATGATTACAATGTTCATTTGTAAACTAACACCAGTTTACTTTAAAATGGTCAATAAATTATATCAAGAAAACGTGCGAAATAGCATCAGAATCTGCGCTGGTTCAAATGAACAAAAGCTGCCAGCACTATATTCTGATACAAAGAATACAAAGCAAATAGATATAAAAAACTGCAGCGCTCACAACGTGAATAACAACTATATAAATATGTCAAAAAATGGAAAGAGCAAAGAAAACACTATGATATAAATGATTAAGTCCCAGTGCAAGAGAACATAGTGAAAAGTCTTTGAATGTGATAATGATCTTCAATCGCTCAGATAATTTTGTATATCCAGGTGCAGCCTTTATCACCCCACTCAGTGTGAAATGTCCTTAGGTGCAATCATGGATGGTCAATGCAAAGGTGATCAAACACCTTCAGTTGCAACATGTGTCACCCCACTCAGTGCTGAAGGGAGGCTTACCAGATATATTTGACCATTATGTTATAGAACGGTCAAATAAGGCATGTATGTGATCAAATGGCAATTGCTCCAACTTCCTCCACAGCCTCCAAACACAAATCAGGTAACATTCTTACACTCCACATGGATCATCGATGTCGAAAGTGTAATGGGCATATACATAGAACCAGGGGCTGACTGACAACTCATGGGGCCCCCGGGCAATAGGGGATCATGGGGCCCCTGTGTCCTTGCCCAAACTCAAAAAAGCCTATGAAAAAGGTACCAGGGGCATCTCATGGGGCCCCCTACTGACCCCGGGTCCTCGGGCAGTGCCCAAGTTTCCAAATGGTCAGTCCGCCCCTGCATAGAACAAAAGAGCTTTAGAATTTCCTGACCATTCACTTTGGTTTGTTGTTGTCAAATATCCTGATGTTGTAATACTGGTGGAGACATTGTTCGATGGAGTAACCGTTGAACCTGCAGCTCTCGAAGTAGTACTGCTATTAAATGGAGTGCTGGCAACTGGTCCAGAAAATGCAAATGCCCATTAGTAACATAATATCTCTTAATCTTGACAGCATTGTTCCTTATGGAGTATACAGATACAGCTTGTTAAAGATAATGTGACATTATGTTCCACTCCTACAGCTACTCTACCATTCACCTGCTTTCTGTACAGCACATCACACTTGTCTGACTGCAATCACTGAACTTCTTTTAACAAGGTTTATCTGTATACTCCATAAGGATCAATGGAACAAAGAGCGTTGCACTTTTTTATATCAATAAATTATATCAAGCAAGTAATAGTATGTAAGGGAAATTTAAAATAAGATATTAGTCCTGGACTGATTACAGGAAAATTGGGAGTATCATATTGTCAAGAATTGTTGCATGGCACAGTTATTTAGAGCAGGATTTTCTTAACAAAACTAAGTACTGAAAAAATATCTTGGTTGCCATCACTGAACCTCTTTTGAAAATGCTAGTGAGTCACTACCCAAGAACATGTATGCGGTTTAGTTATATTCATATATTCTGACTTAAGTGTCAAAAATTTCCCACTGGATCTCTGTGCTCCTTCTCCCCATGGATGTAAAAATAAATATTTAGCAAGGGGATAAAAAATACCACTGTTAATGGCTCCTTCAAATGGGTGGGTCATGAAATGCTATATATGATGCATATTTTTGCACTGCTAAATTCTATGACAACTGTAAGATGCGGGGGGGGGGGGGGGGGGGGGGGGGGGGGGGGTCAGAAGGTAAGCGTCCATAGGAGATATGCGTACGTATGTAAGTGGGGGTCAATATCAAGGCTGATGCAGTCTAGTAACATCTACCCAAAACTTTGAAATTTGGTTGGATTAGCCTTGTAAATGGAGAATGTAGAGTACCAAGGTGTAACAATTTGGCCTAATATTTTTTTTGTACCTCATTTTATTTTAAAAGATATACAAATTATACACTTTTTTGTATCGTTAGCTTTATTTGTGTATTTTTTGTCAGAAAAAAAATGATTACAGTATGCATTCATGCCCTAGTATGCATAGTAAATGTTGGGCTGTCTAATATAAAGCCTGGGACTAAGTCTGCACTTGTTGACTGGTCCTGCAGATGCATGATCTAGACAGCATCACCTCTGTTATGAGAGTAAGAAGGTATGCGTCCCTAGTGAGTTATTTAAGTATGTAAGTAATAGTATGTCAATATCAAGGCTACATATAATTATGACCCTTGGCTGACCAATTTGCTTGGGCATGTAATCCTACTTTGTCATACCTGTTATGGTGAAAATTAACAAATTATAAATGCAGTGCATATGAATATCCTCTGCCCATATTTGTGACAGGAGGATTTCATCTTTGTATGCTGCAAATTAAAGGCCCTTGAAACTATCATAACATTGTTACACACGTTTATGGAGGATCTTTAAAAGCAGTACCTTTTGAGGTGCTAAGGCATCTTACAGTGGTTCCCACCTATTTGGGAGAGGGGCAGGACAAAAGAAGACTTAACAAGTCTGGAGACTATGAAGATTGAAGCATTGGTCCTATCAAGCATTGTGTTCTCTGTATTTTTCAACTATCATTGGACTGGTGCTTTAGCTGAATGAATTGAGCCTATAATCTCTTAAGTGTATATGCTGAGTTATGTTTAATCTTATTTTTATTAAAGTTTTAAAAAATCAATACAAATCGTGTGGAAATATCTTACACATTGTACACAGTATACGACAATAAAAAGAAGACATCATGGCCCAGAGTAGGTCATGGAACCTTAAAACCTGAGTATTGAGAAAATATGAAGTCTACATTCAGCAATGTACTCAAAACGCCAAATATCAATGTACAGATAGAACCTTTGGTATCTAACAGAAAAATTGTACCAAGGGTCAAATATCTCACAGTATATCTAGGAGTTTTAAACACGAGATAATAACAATACGTATACATGCTAGAAACAACCAGCGTGATCTTTAGTAGAGATGGCTCAGTGGCATATAAATAAATTGCAGAATTGTAAGGTATACATACAGTATATTGTATAAAATACGCAGAAATAAAAGAGCAGTTATCAAGGTAATCTTGAGTAAAAAGATAGACAAGAATAAAAGAAGAAGACAAAGTAGAGAGAGAAAAAATTAAAACACAACAAAACAAAACTAGTAAGTGATTAAATAAATAACTGAGGGGGTGGTGGAGGGGGAAACATCTCTCAGTATAAACTATAACCCTCACGCCCACATCTCCAAGGCGTAGACCATAGCATTGCCTCTGAAGGTCCCAAGTAACCAAAGAAGAGGTCAAAATGGGCACTAAACAGCTCTCAGCAGATATAGCCATAGGTATGTGGAAAAGGTGGATGAATACCTGAAGTGTTCAGATACTGTCCAAGTAATTGTAAAGGTTTCATGTTTAGCAGTGCCCCAAATTAGGCTTGCCGTGTGACAGATCCATCTCAGCAGCCTATTCTGTCAAAGGCAGGGTATTTGGTTTACACCAGCAACGGGCAATGATAATACATGCAGAGGTTAAGAAATGTCTAAATAAACTCTTTTTGTTTTGTTTATATGACCCAGGTAACATAGATAATAGAGTAATCTGAGGAATGTTTGAGATTCTGTCACTCACCAGTTTGAAATTGATTGCTAATATTTTGTTCCAGAAGGGATCGATCCAAGAGCATATGCTCCAAATATGTGTCATGGTACCTGGAGCTTTAAAGCACCTCTAACAAGTATCAGGAATAGTTTAGACAATATTATGTAGGACCATTGGACAATGGTACCATCTAGAGATGAGTTTATAATTCTGTTCCTGTGCCGTACAGGACACAGAGGTCCAGTGTGTAAATGTAAAGATCTTTTCCCAGTCCAAAGCCTCAGCAGAGATGTTTAATTTCACTTTGCACTTAGATTTAAAGCCAGGATTTTGGGGAAGCGATTCTCTCACTAAAAGTTGATACAATAAAAACAAAGAATGGTCGGGTCTATTGGTTTGGGAAAGAAGGGACTCAGAGCCTGTGTAAGGTCTGTTAAGTGTTTCCAGAGGGGGTGGGGTCCCTAGATAATGTTTCAACTGTAGATACTCAAGCCAGGCCCAGGAAGGGTTATGACAAGTTGGGATAACCTGTGTAAATATTGAGTTTTATATCAATTGAAAAATATGCTTTATTAATAATTTTGTTGTTTGTTTCAAACTAAATTGTCAATGTGACTTTTATCTCGGTAATCATTTTAGCAACAATTAAAAGTGAAAGGGTAAAAAACAATAGTAGTGTTAAAGCAGCAATTTTGTACCATTGCTCTTATTGAAAGCCATGTATATGTACAGTACATACAGCACATAACTAGGGAAATTCAAAGTTGTTCAGTTAAACAGTCATTGAATAGACACAGCAGTAGTATAGCATGGTCTGTTCTGTTATATCCAATCAAAAGGCTTAATTCACTTGCTTTCTCTAACATTCTCTGTGGCTGCACTTAGCCTAACATACTGTAAGTATTAGGATTTTATTTCCTGCCTCTTCTGCAATTAATTTTTTTATTCTGTTCCCGTGCTGCCACTTTTTCTGAGCTGCTTTCTTTTCTGTTATTCAGTTTCCTTCTCTATTTCTTCTCTTCTCCTTCTTACAGGTAGATTTGGTGGACTGATCATGCAGATACAATAGGAAATTCAGGAAAGTGACTATAGGTGAAGATAAGGAGTTTATGTATTCTTCGGCAAATCGCTTTTATGGCTTCATTAAAGAGTAACCCCTTCAACCTTTCTTCATATTAAGCTTAAAGAAGACATGGGGCTGTGGAGCTAAAAGTTCAGAAAAAGAGCGAGCGGCTTATAACATCATCCGAGAAGAATATCGCAAGCTGGGGCCAGTTTCCTTTGCAGAGTTTAACGTGCTTCTTCTCTTCGCTGTGCTGGTCATCCTTTGGTTTACAAGAGATCCAGGTTTTGTTAAAGGTTGGGCCACCGTGCTCTTCAATAAGGACAATGTGGAGTAAGGTTTTTTTCATTTTTGTTTAGTTATATTTTCTAATTGCATATCAAATTTTTTTTGTAGTATGTTCCTTCTAATTAACCCAAGTTCCATCTTTTTCCCTATCCAGAATTTAAAATTAGACATAGTAGAACTGTCACCACGTTCTAAGCCAAGTTAGCACGAGTGAATAAGAACATTTTCTTTATAAAAATGATATTCTTAGCAAGGGGATATTATTGTAAGAACCAGAAGTTTAAATGGTTTCTTACCTAACATTGCCATCTTCATTTTAATTGGCTTTAGATACAAATGTAGCATCCAGGACCATCGTGCTAACGTACAGCGCTGAGCAAACCCTTTGGCGCTATATAAACACTGTATAATAATAATAATCTCCACATACAGTATTACACAATGACAAATTATGGACTCCAGTAATAGCAAAATATCCAGTGAAAATGTTTTGCATTCCTTCTAACTCATCTACAGATCGTTGATGTTCTGACATGAGACAGTTGCTAAGCAAACCTTGGAAAAATGTAATATCACTTGTAAATGCAAATATATATCTAGTGCAGTGGTTCTTAACCTGGGTTCGATTGAACCCCAGGGGTTCGGTTGATGAGTCAGTCTCGCGGGTTTGGCGGAGGTGAAGACCCACACCCGACTCATATGATTCGTGCAGTAAATATTCATTATTATGTTTTTGTTTTTGTGTGAAAATCATGTTTTAATGGTTTTGTTCTTTGTTCTTAACGGTTTTGTTCATTTTGTGCACCTATGTATAAATATATACCTAAATATATACCTATGTTTTGAATTTTAAAAATCATATTTTATTTTTCCAATTAAGAAGGGTTCGGTGAATGCGCATATGAAACTGGTGGGGTTCAGTACCTCCAACAAGGTTAAGAACCACTGATCTAGTGCATTGTAAGGTGTTAAAATGTATAGAATCTTGTGCCATTCACAGCAAAGTGACAGTGCCTTTTCACAGAGCCCCCCAACTCACTAATACTTACCTTTCCAGTGTTCCTCCACCATTCTTTTCTCTTTCGCGCAGCCGGTGACAATATCTGGTGCTTCTGAGAATAGAAGAGCATGTCACAATGCTTAGGTCTTGCAGCCAATCATTTGGCCTGAGCACTATAACAAAACAGAGGCAGCAAAATTACTATTGCCCCTTGCATCTGAATTTGAGAATTTTAGTTCCTTTTTAATTTTAATTGCTTCTTTTGTGCCTCATTCGCACTGCAGTGCTTCCTGGAGGTGCAGTGCAGGGAGATACGGTAAAATGCAGATGTGTAGCATTTTACCTCCATGCACAGGAAGGCACCATATGTCACTGCAGAGCAGCACAAGGCACTGCACCGCTGTATGGTGATATGAGTGAAGTGTCAGTTTGTGCACTTCAAGTACAGAAAAAGGTATACAGTGTGAAGCTCTGAAATGTGCATCACACACCACCCCCTCACTACTTATGGCATAATAAGGCATGAAAGATTGAAACTGTTTAAATCCCAATGAAAAGAGAGTGTCTGTTTCCTGAAATAGTACAATGTAATTTCCCAAAACATATTTGTTCAATTGGGTAAAATGGCTGTAATAGATTTAATTGTAGGCTGAGATCTTGTGAGATAACTATAATTTATAAATCACATTAGTATGAAACCCCATATATGTTTTGTTATGTATTCTTTGCTATCTGTTTTTCAATCTGCAGGTATGTAACTGATGCCACTGTGGCTATATTTGTAGCTGTCCTTCTGTTTGTTCTGCCAGCAAAAAGACCTAAACTTACCTGCTATAAGCAGAGTGACCGTTTTGATCTTGAAGATCCACAAGAAGGTAAGAATAAACAAACATATAAAACACTCCAACGTGTGACAAATCTTCAGGCCTCGTTCACACGAGAGACATGCAAGGATATCAGTTTTTCTGCATGCGTTCTGCAAGGGCACAACAAAATCAGTTGTTCTCTATGTGTCCTGTTCACACCACAACACTAGTATCATTTGCAGATGTTTTTTCTGCACAGGAATCTGCAACGTTTATGAAAACTGATCTCTCTGCAAGTGAAATCTGCGTGTCATTTTCCATTAGTTGTTCTGCATGTATGGTGTGAACCAGGGGCGGACTGACCATTTGGAAACTTGGGCACTGCCCGAGGGCCCGGGGTCAGTAGGGGGCCCCATGAGATGCCCCTGGTACCTTTTTTCATAGGCTTTTTTGAGTTGGGGCAAGGACACAGGGGCCCCATGATCCCCTATTGCCCGGGGGCCCCATGAGTTGTCAGTCTGCCCCTGGAGTGAACAAGGCCTCAATGTAATGCACCTGAAACACATATAGAAACATATGGGTGTAAATAGAGCCTAAGCTTATACTGTATCTATGTGGATGGTTCAAAGGCTGTTCATCTAATACCTTTAAGTATAACTAAAAGAAAACCTTTATTTTTTTCATTTTGGACAGAATAAGAGAAGGTGTAACTCATCTTATTTTTTTTCCATCTGCATCCCATTGTGAAGATTTCTGTTCACTTTCTGTCCCGTAGTCAAAACAGGAAGTGAAAGGAAATCCCTTCAAAATGTGGGAATCCTGCCATAGTCAACAGAATTAGTGTCCCTCATTGGAAGATATTCCCCCCACTCCTGCTTTGGTGACAACCCACAATTAGGCATTTTTTTTTTACTTTCAGTGATAATGGTAAACAGGACAAATAAAGGGAGTGTATCTCCATGGATGAGGAGACATACAGCACTAAAACATGACAGGTGTTCTAATCCCTCTCTACTCTATCCAAAGTGTAAAAAAGAAAAGTTTTGCCTTTAGTTATACTTTAATATGTATAATTTTGCAACCTATGGTTTATCTTAACTAGACACACATAACATCAAAATATCCTGAATAAATTAGAACTTTGACAGGCTGTATATTTATTTTTGATGTCTGTGCCCCATCAAGGAGATTTTCCTGAACTTCCTTTTCCAAACACACAGTAGGACGTAAGAAGAGATCGCTGCAAAGCAAAGGGAAATTTGCTCATAGACAGTTGTGACCAAACTGGTTTTCCCATAGGAAGCTTTTCCATAACCTCCTCTTTCTGAGAAATTTTTAATTTACTATACCTGTCTACACTAGAGGAACTTGTCACCAGGACCAATAAGGAGAGTGAATGTCCGCAATAAAAAGCTTTTATAGGTTTTATCCCTTGCACATTTTATCCAAACAAAAAAGTGTTGGCATTAAACTTTAATTAGAATGTTAAAATAATGTGCCACTATAATTAGACATTTTTTAGTTTTGTTTTGCCCTTATACTTTAATTAGAATGTTAAAATAATGTGCCACTATAATTAGACATTTTTTTGTTTCGTTTTGCCCTGATACTTTAATTAGAATGTTAAAATAATGTGCCACTATGGTTAAACATTTTATTCTGTTTTATTAAGTCAAATCATCTGCAGTGCCTGGTTCCTCATCTGTCCTGTCCTGTTCAGTACACACAGAGTCTGCACATACAGCCTGTTATTCAGGGCACAGAGAGTAGAAACTGCCAGCTTGTGTTTTGCATGACTGCAGCTCCATAAGAGCACTTTGATTCACCAAAACACAGGCAGACAAGCAAACACCAACATCTACATTGGTCCAAGACAGCCTAGTTTTGTACCTGGCTTGTTCTGTTGTCAGCCTGTGTTTTTGTGAATAAAAGCCCTTTTCTCCAGCTGCAACCATTCACCACACAAGCTGGCAGTCCCATTTTCTTAATTCCCCTGAGTAGCAGCCTGCAGCCCCTCATTCTGTGTAAATAAGAGATGAGGAATCAGGGCACTGATACAGTAAAGGGATATACTGTCTGGCAGCTTATGAGGAAGGTGAGAGGGGCTGTGCAGGCTTCAGTGTGAACTGCCTTTCATGCCACCTCTCCTCCTGAGCTGCCACTTAGAGCTCCATCTCTAGAAGGGCAATTAAACCATGGCAACATCTAATGTTTATGTAGTATTATGTTCAGCAGACTGTGTTCTTCTATTGTGACTTAGATGACGTTCAGAGCACATTTTATACCCAATTCATGCAAAACTCCCTCGTAATACCAAGGGGTTCACATACTTTTTCTTGCAACTGTACAATAAATAAAACCCTCATATTACATTTACACAAAAATGTTGATGAGTCAAAATAAGCCTGTGCCATTATAGTCCAAAAAATGTGGGCACCAACATATTGTGAAAGAAAAAGCTGTCACTAAAAAGCCCAAAATGTGCAAATACAAGTGGTCAACCCACAGGCAACACACAGAGACATTTTTAAAGTTGAACATGTTTAAATGTTATTCAGTCACATAGTAAGAAAAGTTGGATACAGAGGGGTAGATTTACTAAAGACAAATAGGCTCATCACTTTGCAAGGGAAATTGCACTTTGTAGTGGAATTTTCCTTAAGCTTAGTGAATGTGGTCAAAAGAAACATTGCAAAGAATACCCAACAGTTTTTTTCCCTTGCACATGATTGGATAATGGAAGTCAGCAGAGCTCCACCTCATTTACTAACTAAGAGAAACATTCCCTTGCAAAGTGAATAGTCTATTTGCCTTTAGTAAATCAATCCCAAGAGTATACGATGTGATGGAGTCTTAAATGGTGAAAACAAAAGCTACTGACAAGTAATGAACTGACCATACCCTACTCCTGTCAGGCAGGCATGTCATGAAAATTACAGCAGCTAGTTGCCCTTAATTCTCAAGGAGACGTATTCCCACCTATAACAAGCCAAGAATGTAATATCCTGACTTATACACTAAACTGATATTGTGTTCTCAGATTGTTCTCTAGAATATTACATGGTCTATGGCCATGATTAGATATTGCAATATATCTAAGTTAGTGGTTTGTTGCCACAGTAGTGTCTGAACACTTGATCACTCTCCTTCTTTTTATAGAAGAGGAAGCATTTATGTCCACACCATTACTGACATGGAAGGTGGTTCATAAGAAGATGCCGTGGAGTATTGTTCTTCTTCTCGGGGGAGGCTTTGCATTGGCAAAAGGCAGTGACGTAAGATTATTATTGTTATTGAGAACACAGTGAACATTTAAACAGTTTCCAAGTATGCTAGAAGTTCTCATTGTTTTATATTTCAATATTATGTTCAATATAGTATGTACAATTTCTTGCCAAGATTAAGTGTGTTCTGGAGATTCTCCAAGGTTCCCTGTTGGTCTGAGGCAGTAAGAATGGACATGCTCCTTTAATTTTGTATGTATCTGCATAATCAGATTAAAATCAACTTTTAAAATGGAAAATATTCAACAGAGAGAGAATCTATAATGTTACTAAGAAAAAATTGTAGCTTTCATAGGAAAGCTTTTAGTTGGCTGAACATTCTGTCCCATTGTATGAACTGATGCCAAGAAAATGAAATAATAGAAAGAAAGAACATTGACTAGACCATGTTCTATAGTGAGTGAACAGCTACAACTTGAATTTTAAGAATCATTTTGAGTACGGTAAAATGTGTGTTGGTATTTTTGACAATGTTGTGTGTGAAATGGTGTTAGGTGTCAAATGAGTAAATTTCCCTGTGAGATCTCTGCACACATCTCCAAATAAGGAGGAAAGTAATGGTAATGCCTAGTATACACGATGAGAAAATCAGATGAAAAATATCACTTTCGAAGCGATTGTTTGATAATCTGATCATGTGAAATTATCCAAAGGGACAAGCACAAAAATGTTTCTGGTAAGGTAACAGAACGAACGATTTTCGTTTAATCAGTTTAGTATTTGTCTGTAAAGTATCGAGTGATAAAGACCACGCATGCTCATAAATGAAAGAATGCATTACAATGCAATACAATACATTACATTACATCACTTTCGAAGTTGTATTCTGTTTTACAAGAATTTTCTTAACTTTAGTAACCTCTGCATTTTTGATATGAGACTAGCATGTAAAAAAAAAAAAAGGACGATCATTTGTCCGATATTCTCATCGTGTGCACCAGGCAGGCTTGACACATTTGCGTTACTGAATCTTAGGGCAGATAGGAAAAGTGCACCATTCTAACTTTTTGCTTCTGTTATCACCCATCAGGGTGATGCACCTTGCATAGGGAAACATCCTTATTTACCACCTCTCTTTAATCAGTTATCGTGCCTTACCTGCCCTTTCATGCATCTAGTATTTCTCTACCCTCTAGTGTTTGTTTTGTTTTAAGCCTAGTTTGTTTGGTGTTTTCTTTTTTTTCCCATCTATTGCCCTATCCTGTCCTCATTGTCTCTACCCTTTAGGCTGGATTCACATCTGTGCATTGAGGTAATGTGCATTATTTCACGTGTAAGGCATACTGACAGCCATTCAAGTGAATGGGCTATCTTAATGCCATGCAAATGCATGCATTAACATGTAAATGTTAATGATACAGAAGCATAACTAGACTCTTACTCTTTTCTATCACTTGGGCATTCCTCATTTGTGTCTCGTTCCTAATCCATCTAGAATAATTCCTTAATCATCTATTAGAGATCTTAACAATACTATAGCAGCTATGCTAGGTAAAGCCTACCTCATCTTCTCTTCTTTGAAGACCCCACAGGCACAAATATAATTTGGTTAATGGTGAGAACTCTCAGGCATTAAAGAGGTCCCCTGCTGCAATTCAAAAGAGAACAACACACAAATGCCCTTTCTTCTCACAATTTGTTTGACTCCTCAGTGGCATTGTAGGCAAGAATTGATAAGAATGCATAAATGTCATCTATTCAGGAAGGTGATCAATTTGATGGAGCGATTCCCATTCTGAATCACTTGTCCGCTTCCAGATGAAACTTCTCATAAATTAAAAAGTAAATAATTTCCCCAAAAGACCAAATATATAAAAGTGCGTATTAATTAAACAATTCCTTTATTCATTTGTTGTGGTGGTAACTGTTGATTCTTGAATTTTTGGTCTTTGTGCATAAACTTGTCTGAAAAAAAAACATTGCCTGCAGGAACAACTTTTTTCAAGCCAGTGCTAACAAAAATAACAGCTACTGCACATTCTAGTTTCTACGAATGTCAAATTACTTAACACACAAGGCTCTTTTTGAGTTGGTATAAAGTAAGATGAAGACCAGCACTGTTATGAAAAATCCAGCATGCCATGTCAACTAATCAAAAATTATCATTTATGACATGACTATGGTGAAATGTGACTAGTTGCTATGAATGAATGCATGTTTGTACTGTGTTCAATATCATATACAGTATACCATATATGTTCAATACCGTATCTGCTTCTGGTTCTTCTCTCCCAAAGGCATCTGGTCTTTCTTCATGGCTTGGTAGGCAGATGATATTTCTTCACAGCATCCCAGCTTGGGCCATCGTCATCATCCTGTCATTAATGATCGCTGTTTTTACAGAATGTGCCAGCAATGTTGCTACAGCAACTCTTTTCCTTCCAATCCTGGCCTCCACGGTAGGTTTAGTAAACCATGTTAAGCCTTTACCATTCATGTGATTCACGATGTTTACCTGTATATGTTTTTTTATGTGGGGGAAGAAGATGGACATTTTCATAAGTGAGGAGCCAATATCTTGAATCTAGCTAATATAGGACCCATAAGATTTAGATAGATGACTTAACATGGTAGCGATGGATTAATTGTACTTATGCCCTGGTTATTTTCAGTTAATGGAACTTCCACCATCTTAATTGGATCATACATAATGGTTACAGCACATTATTAAACTCTGAACATTCTCTTTTTCCGTCGGAAAAAAAAAAAAAGAACGTTCAGAGTTTTGGAGACATTTTTTGCTGAGGAGATAACTCTGCACTTGTGTGGGAGTAGCCTCTCTCTCATAACGCTGTCCTGGAAGATTCCTGGAAATTAAGTTAACAGGAGTGTAGGAGATTTGATCCAAATCAACCTTTAAAGGGACCGTTTTTTTGAACTGGGTCCAGAGATCAAGAGAAAAGAAGGAGGGCCCCCGGTGGTTCTAAAATGGTGAAGGACTTGGAGAGCGGAGGAACCCCAATTTGTTAATCATTATAAGCGCATTCAAATTTTCTTAAGGTGAGAGTTCTGTGAGCACTGAGGTGGCACAACCTGCATGTTGGCAGCACTCTAAGAGATGGTGATGGCTATATGAGCGCTTGAGAAATCCTATGGAATTGTTATGGAAGTTGATGTAAAACTTTATCCACTGTTACCGCTCTAATATCAATTGCACGGACTTGTTTTTTTGGACATTGTGTTTTATTCACTTTGTATGATTTATGCACATTTTTATGTACATTTGATGTTTTTCGGATATGATTGATGATTTGGTACTTATACTTTGCATTAGCAGCGCAGCATTAAGTTTATTTGTTTTTTCGTGTTTATGTTGTGGGAACACAGTTTTTGATGCTAGCAGCAGCTCTATATATCATTCAATATTTAGTCACATTGAAGTAGCGAAGGAGTATCTTTCACTTTATATAGTAAATTACATAGGCCTTCAAAATTCTTGTATCGCTTAATTTAGTATTCAAATTTAACATTTTGCCTCGAGAGGCCTTTAAAGTAAAATCTGATTATTAGGATTAACATTGACTGTTCAGATACACTGGTTCATACCATTTCTTAACAATATAGGTGGAAATACCGCATACTAAATTATTCACATGTTTATTTTTTCTGTATCCTAGGCAAAATCCATTTTGGTTAACCCACTGTATATAATGATTCCGTGTACACTAAGCACCTCCTTTGCTTTCATGTTACCTGTCGCCACACCCCCTAATGCTATTGTCTTCTCATATGGTCATCTCCATGTGTCTGATATGGTAAGTTTCTTTATACTATAGAGTCTTTTGTAACAAATTATACATATATATATATATGAATGCAGGTAAATTATTAGTATAAACTCATTTAAAATGTGGGGAAGAGTTAGAAAATTTGGGATGTTTTTATAATCATTTGTGTTCCTGTTGGAGGAGATCCATCTTTACTATTTGCTTTTGTGGTCATTGTCCCCATGACAGACAGTAAGGGGAAATCCAAAATTTTATGCTTGTCACTGGCACATGAGTAGATTGGGAGTCTTGGAAAGGGGCATCTGTTCCAGTGGCAATTGTCAGAGGTGGAATTTTCCATCATCTTGGAAAACAGTCATATCTTTGGGATTGAAATTGAAGGAAAGTATCCCCAGATGGGACACAAGCAACAACAGACATCCAAAAGACGTTCTAAGCCTTCCACCATCTACTGTATCCACTGTAATCATGTATTCTGTACATAGCATTGTATTTTTTTTTGTTGCGACTACTTCTGTTCTTCCCCTGTTATGAATCCAAAACAGGAATATCAATTCTTTTTGGAGTCTTCTTGCCTCTTATTTTTGTTGGGAGCAGACAAGAATCTATGTGTTAAGTACTCTAAAACACTGAAACAGGACATTCACATAGCTATTTCTTAAAAATTCAACTTTAACAAATTCAATACAGATGTTCAGTAATCTGGCTGTGTATTGACAAGAGAAAAAAAACTGCAGCTGACAAGCACTGGCTGCATGTAATACAAGCAGTTGGGTCAAAAAGATTACTGGCTGAATTAGCAGCTGAATTTGCATTTTGAATTGAAAAAAAATAATAATTAAAGGAAATGATACCTGAACAATTAGATGATCTCATATTTGGGCATTTGTGTTACATTTTGCATGGAATGGGGAAGGGTTACACACTGGGGTCTCTGACCCCACTGGGTAGATCCACTTTCTTTATTTGTCCTAGAAACTATTGTCACTGGAACTGAAAGTGTCACCGTATGTCGAAAGTGAACCCTTGCAGGACAACAGGTTCAATTTAACACTGTTCCCTACAGCAGTACAGTCTTTCCTTCCCTTTGCTCCCCAGTTGCTATGTTTGGTCAGTGGAAGCAAGGGGTAGAATACCTATGTAAGATCAAAGTCACAAATTGAAACCTACACAGATTAAGGAATCTTTCTCCACCCCATTGGTGCCTGAAAGGCCAATCACTAAGCACCAATGATATCATATGGGTGGAAGGGGAGTGAGTTACGTGCTGATCCATACCCTAGTATATGTTTGTGCAAAACTATTGGCACTATATAAATCCTGTATAATATCAATAATAATAATAATAATAATAATAATAATTTTTGTTTCATGCCGGCAGCCAAGTGGATCTATGAGATAGTAAAAAGACAGTGATTATAAACCATTGCAGGGGCCATTATTAAAAGTAAACCTGGAATGGACATAGCACAGATTCACTTGAAAATTTGCTCTAAATAACCTTAAAAATACAATATGCTGAAAGGAATGATGCTTTGCATTGTCATAGGACTTTTATTAGACTGGGGACTAGATTCAGTTTGTGGTATTTCATCATTCAACAACAATCATCTTAAGATAACCCTATTATTTATTTCTAGGTCAAAACAGGCATCATGATGAATATCATCGGTGTATTGTGTACCACAATTGCTATCAACAGCTGGGGCCGGGTCATGTTCAACCTGGACACTTTTCCAGCATGGGCTAATGCTACAGATGGAAATTGATGCAAAGACAATTCGTGCCAACGTACCTCTGCCATGAACACCTATCTTCCTGATCATGAACACAAAAGCTGTATGAAGCCTGGTTTGTCAAAGGGATCACTGGGTGAAACAGACTTCTAAAAGCTCTAAGATTACTTGCGGAACAAACAAAGGTGCAACACAAGAACTATTTTTGAAGGTTACATGAAGTAGGATTTCAACATCACCAGTTGTGTAAAAAACTAAAAAGTCCTATTCATTACATACTCATTGTAAATAGACGTAACTGTGGGCGGTTTCTAAGTAAATGTTCTTTTTTTTTTGTTGTCCGGTGGACTGAAAGTTACACTGTTTAAAAAAAAAACAGCTAGATTAAGCTTTTTAAACAGAACATAATTTCTTACAGTTGGTGTCATCTGGTGGGGTAAAACAGTTAAAAGTAAATGCAAACAAGACTGGTTTCTTGGAGCCTGTTTATAAAGATGTGATAATTAAATGCTTCCAAATTTTTGTCTAATTTACCCCATTGGCTTTTTAAAATATAACATTTTCATGATGAATTTAATTAAAATAACTCTGTTAAGACAGGGTCCAAACTAAATGAAAACAACTCTGTTTCTTTTTCGGTAGCCTGTGTCTCCAAACTCCACCATGTTGCTCATCCTGGCTTCAGAAGGTAAGTGACACCTTCAGGTGTGTTGAATACCTGCTACCCCACCACATGCTATGATGCTGGCTAATACATACTTTATTGATATAGGGGACAGTGGGAGGGTCACATTGAGCAGTGGAGGAAGCAGGTATTTACACACCCAGAAGTGTTGGATGGGTTTAAAGACACAGGCTAACAGTTAGGTAAATATACATAATTTTTTTTACAGGGTAGGCTTTAGTTTGAACCTTTTATTGAAAAGATTAAATTCAGTTTTCACAAATATATCATACATTTCCCCTTTTCTCCAACCATTTACCAAATCTTTTTTAAGTTTTTTTTTTTGCTCAGATTTTCTTGAAAAGGCTTGCACATTTTCTACTTACTCAAGAGGGCTTTTTCAGTAACTTACACCTATAGTGCATTAAGGTCTAATGGAGAAATGCAAATTAGTGCAGACTGAGCACGTATCCAAAAATCATCCATGCTAAGGTGGACTGGGTCATAGTTGAGGTGCTGCCATGGCTACTCAAAAATATAAATAGGCAATCTATGCAGAATCTTCCCTAGTCTGCCTCAGCTGATCTAAAAGCAAGGCTCAGATTTAGCACAGTCCTTGCCTGGGCTGTGGAATTATAAGTACATCTACATCCAAACTTTCTTAGGTTACACTAGAAGATGGTTAGAACCCCTGGCAAGTTTTTCACCGTGACCAAGGCACAACAGAAAATCTCTTCAAATTAAGGAGAAATCCCCTCTTAAGCATTTGTTACCAGATGTCCCCATTAAAAGTTGTTCCCTGTCCAACTGTACACTTTTGTATTTGTTATCTCTTTCACAATGACAATTGTCAGGTCACCAGGACAAATAAAGAGGATGAATCTCCCTAGTTGGGGCATATATGGCAGCAGCAACTTGGTAGGGGGTTTAATACTTCACCACTCCAGCTAAAAAAGTTTTGGCTGTACATATACCTTATTAATGTGCTAAATCACTAAAAAATAGCCCCTATTCATATTCCAAAAAGAAACTCATTGATGCAGTATTAGACTGCTTGTGTGGCAGGGATGGGAAACCAGTTTACTGTAGTGCTTGTACGGGTAGTACAGGGGAGGACATGTAGGGAATATTTCAAATGGGCATAAGTCACAATGCTAAACTGTGTAAACATAAAGTATATAATTGTATGATCAACTTATTTTGTAGATGTTTATGTATGCCAGATTACATCTCCTGTAAATGACTTGTTAATATAATTAACGTATATAAGTGATGGTTACAACAACCAACAAACTTTTTAAGAAACAATTTATTTAAATGATATGGCTATTTTCATTGTTACATTTTGTACAGTTAACTGCATATAGAATTCTCTCTAACAGGCATGCTGGAGGATTCACATCCACTTTTTCTATTTTTTAAAGAGTTGTTCAACCAAAAACAGATATTTTAGTTACTGTGGAAACTCTTGTATGACCCGCATGTTTTCTGTTCCTTCTAAAGCCTCTAGAATAGATCTCCATTCTGTAGTGCTATTCTGTTCATTAAGTCACAGTTTATCTATGGCAACAGGAGTCATACGCTTACTGCTGCTTTCTGTGTAATATAAGCAAAGGAAATGTACATAAAAGAGAGTGAATTTCTTTGCAATGGCAAACGGGCAGACCTGAGAACTCAAGTGCTAAATTATATTTTATCAAGTTTTTTGTTTTTCTGCAAAACTCTTGTCTTTCCTCTCCTCTTTATTGGGCAAGATATACTCTTAAAGTAAACTAGTCACATAGTCAGGCAAATTAAATGATGTAAGAAATGCCTAAGCATAGGTAACTTTTAAGGGTCTGTTCACACCATAAAGCTACAATGTTTTGCACATTCCCACATGTTTCTGCATGGCTTGTTTAGGGTAGCCTATTAATTTCAATGGGGGAATGGGCAAAAAGTACTGCAGGCATGGTTAATAAAATTGCAACACATAGTACCATGTGTTTTGATGGCTGTGAATGCACCCTCATTTGTTAGATGCATGGCGGTGCCATTAAGCACCTGTGTGTATCTGCACATGGTGGTGCGTTCTCACATCACAAGTGGTATGAACAAGCCTTAAGTCAAAACTTCCTAGAAAAAATATCTGTAGGTACAACCAGCTAAAAATGTATGCAAATAGTAATTTTTTCTGTAAAGGTCAGGCTTGGCCTTGCCCCTCCTACCTCTCAATTTGCCCAATTATTTAATGTGAGGAGTGTGATCTCAAAGATCAATAGGGATGCTCAGATGATGAAAAGCTCTGCTTGAGATTTATATGCATGTATCTTCCTTTATTTTATCATTGGCTTACCTCCAGTGATACAAGTAACTTCTTATTATATGTTTTTTTATCATTTGCTCGGCTTGAATTGGCCTGGTCTGCTATGAGGTTACTTTAGTCCACACACCTTCAATAAAAATAATATTTTCTGTTTAGATGGATAGTTCACAACAGTGTATATGTCCATTGTTCATCAGAATATAATTGAGACACTTAAAGGGAACTTGTCATCAGAACACATCAGAGATGCCTCAAGTGGAGGCATCTATTTTCCAGTCACTGGTCATTTATAATTATTTCTGGTGCAGTGGAAGACCTATCCAGCTTCACTATGAAGGAGATGAATGTTATGGAACTACATTGAAGTTTGGGTGACACAGAGGACCAACAGAATCACAAGCTTCTCAAAAAGGCATTTGGCTTTATGACATATGCCTTTTAAAAAGTAAACTGTAGATGACCGTTTTTGTTATCCATGCAGGGCAAAGTAAAAGGTTCACTTAGCTCTTTGCTTAGCATATTCCAACTTCCATGCACTCCAACTTGGAATAGACAGCTCAAATTGCCTAATTGGAGCTTACACAGAGCTATTGACTACTTTTTTGGCCTCACGTGACAGCATTGAACCAACCATGGGGTACCAGCACATGAAAGAGGGGGTGGGGTCATTTTCTCACTCATATCTAGAAGTGATGCTTAAAGGAGTGTCAAGGAGCAAAGGAGAGGCAAGTAAATACTGCTGGGGGTGGAGGTAGCTAAAGGAACCTTCTACTTTATCTATCACAGGAAAAGGTGATTTTAATTAATTTTCTTTGAAAAACATCCCATCAGAGATTTACCTACAGTGGGGCAAAAAAAGTATTTAGTCAGCCACAAATTGTGCAAGTTCTCCCACTTAAAAAGATGAGAGAGGCCTGTAATTGGCATCATAGGTAGACCTCAACTATGAGAGACAAAATGAGAAAAAAAATCCAGACAATCACATTGGCTGATTTGGAAGGAATTTATTTGCAAATTATGGTGGAAAATAAGTATTTGGACACCTACAAACAAGCAAGATTTCTGGCTCTCACAGACCTGTACCTTCTTCTTTAAGAGGCTCCTCTGTCCTGCACTCATTACCTGTATCAATGGCACCTGTTTGAACTTGTTATCAGTATAAAAGACACCTGTCCACAACCTCAAACAGTCACACTCCAAACTCCACTATGGTGAAGACCAAAGAGCTGTTGAAGGACACCAGAAACAAAATTGTAGACTTGCACCAGGCTGGGAAGACTGAATCTGCAATAGGCAAGCAGCTTGATGTGAACAAATCAACTGTGGGAGCAATAATTAGAAAATGGAAGACATACAAGACCACTGGTAATCTCCCTCGATCTGGGGCTCCACACAAGATCTCACCCCGTGGGGTCAAAATGATCACAAGAATGGTGAGAAAAAATCCCAGGACCACACAGGGGGACCTAGTGAATGACCTGCAAAGAGCTGGGACCAACGTAACAAAGGCTACCATCAGTAACACACTACGCCACCAGGGACTCAGATCCTGCAGTGCCAGATGTCGTGTCCCCCTGCTTAAGCCAGTACATGTCCGGGCCCGTCTGAAGTTTGCTAGAGAGCATTTGGATGATCCAGAAGAGGACTGGGAGAATGTCATATGGTCAGATGAAACCAAAATAGAACTGTTTGGTAGAAACACAACTTGTCATGTATGGAGGAGAGAGAATGCTGAGTTGCATCCAAAGAACAACATACCTACTGTGAAGCATGGGGGTGGCAACATTATGCTTTGGGGCTGTTTCTCCACAAAGGGACCAGGATGACTGATCCATGTACAGGACAGAATGAATGGGGTCATGTATCGTGAGATTTTGAGTGCAAACCTCCTTCCATCATCAAGGGCATTGAAGATGAAACGTGGCTGGGTCTTCTAACATGACAATGATCCCAAACATACTGCTCGGGCAATGAAGGAGTGGTTTCGTAAGAAGCATTTCAAGGTCTTGGAGTGGCCTAGCCAGTCTCCAGATCTCAACCCCATAGAAAACCTTTGGAGGGAGT